AAGAGTACTAAAGTCAGATGGAGAAGATTTTACTTGTTGGAAGAAGGCTGCTTTTAATGCCACCTCTTTTTCAACCACATATGTACTTTAAATGTTACTGCAACACTCTGTAGTATGAAGAGACCCACATCTTGGGCTCCTTGTCCCCTGTACTTAAAGTACACCCAGAGCTGTAGCTGCTGCCTGAACTGGTACAAGGATTTTGTGCATCCGTTACTACTCTTCCTCTTTACTCTCTAATGTTATTCATTTATTCAAACGTAGGCCTGTTTCTGTTCCTACTGAGGTCAAGTGCCGAGGCAGAAGTTGATTAAGGTCAAATGTGGATTGTTGCTTAAAAACGTATTGTACATTGAAGCTTCTGACTTGAGTTAAAAGATTGGAATATTTTGAATATTTCTTTTGAACTTCAGAGCCCTGGCTAGTCTGGCTTTCCAAAGACAATCCCTCCTCCGAGACACTGAAGGAAGATAGAGAACATCCTTCTCTTCCCAGAGCTGAACTCTAAAAGCCACTGCAAGTCCTCCCCATTTGGGCACGCACAGACATTCCCACTGACAAAAACCACGCATCATGATTCAGACATCTGGAAACTCTCAGAGTCACCATCTATTGATAGCAATTATTATGCACAGGATACAAGTTTTCAGTAGGTAAATGCATCCGAATCAGGAAATCAGTGTGATGAACTACTTAACCTAGAAACATAAAATTACCACAGATCATGGAATGAAACTTGAGAAACACAATTCTGAAGGTAAATTTCAGTATTAGATGAGGAAGAATGCTCAAAACCATGCTTTTATTGTTTCCACTGCTTTTAGAAGACTAAAATTGCATTTACAAACTAAGCAGCTCTCCTGCACCTGTGCCACACAGGAGGTTCTCTTACTTCTGTACCTGGAATGAGTAGATAGAATCCCTGCAAGCTGCCTCTTTTCAGAGCTGGAAACCTGAATAAAGTGAGTAGTGGTCTCATCCTGCTGTTGCTGTGTTCAAACCAGCATACCAGCTCAAGTTATGGCACTTATTCCAAATGTAAAACATTTTATATTATTTTTGTGCAGCTGATTACCAAGGGGGAGTTTGTGTGTCTGTGTGGACAGAAGGATGGTATCCCCAAATATCATGCTTTGCTTTTATGTCTTCTACACTGCCACAGTTCATAATAAATCACATGAAAAAAAAAAAAACCTACTAAGAATGACCTACTAGAGAAAGCCCAACTTCCTTCCAAGTCACAAGTTCCAAATGCAAAGCATTATGCTAAACATTAGTGCCCCCACTTCAAACACCAAACAGTTCCACACAACCCCATGTACTAAATTTGCTTCCTTCAGGCATTTTCCTCTTCTCCTTTTTCTTGCAGAAACAGCACATACAGTCATTTGCATTCACTCTGCAGAGGTCTTTAGTATCTCAAGCCTCACCATTTCATGGACTTATTTTGAAAACCAGCTCTTACAGACAAACTCTTAAAGGCACAGAAAAACCAAGACAGTCTATCAAATACAAAGTCCCTGAACACACTGATTCAACTTGTATATCTAGTCAGAGGATGTTTGGATACTTATTTCGCATGTCTGGAAACTCCCAGCATTGTGTCCAAGAGAAGATGACACACAATAGTCATTGAAAAAGAATTTCCAGTTTTGCCTTTCCTTTCTGACATCCCTCTCTGCTCTGTGGATCCAGCCAAGACCTAAAAATGATTATTAATCTGTCTTGCTCAAGGATAAAATCAGATTTCTGAACTAACAAAGTGAAAAGGAGGAAAACAAAAACTGTGAATGAAGACATCAATCTTCACATGTTCTGGAAGAGCTTTTCTGCTAGAAATGCCTGCTGGGACATCAGCCTGGAGACTTCATATGGTGCTTAGCAGGAGGCCATTAAGCAATGCCTGGGGCTGTACCTCAGTCTTCTCCCTTTCTCTCCTGCTGGAATGCACCCACAGCATCTCCTGCTTGGAGAGCCACTGGCAAATGGACAATTCCTAGAGGAATATCATACAACAACGTTCCTCTTCAGGGATCAATGAAGCCAAGTAGGACACATCTACAGAGCTGTACACTTAGCTGAAGTATTTTAGGGCAATCTGCTGTTCTCCCTGCCTCAGGACTGCTTTCTTTATCAAGGCATTATCAAGATTTTACTTGTGCTTCACAGTTGAGAGGCAAACTTGCAAGAGCACACAGCAGTCTGAGGACTTCAAACAGCAACTCAAAAAGATAGCACAGTTTTTATCCTGAAATCAATCATCCAAGCACTCTCAGCAGGGAGCACACAGCCAAGGCACACCAGCCGCAGCGAGGAGGACCACTGCCTCTGAAGGCAGGAGAAGATCCTCTTCAGCTGACAGGAGCCCACAGGCCATCACACCCAGGCCTGCCAGCATATTTCAGTATTCTGCATTTTGGGATTTCCTCATCTCTCTTTTTTGTCACCCCAATCAGTCACTGCCCTCAAACATGAGAGCTCAGCAATCTCGCCGGGAGCAGCTTTGCTCCTGGCATCTATACCACGTGCACAACCACATTCTGAACTAAACACTCTTTTGCTTGTCTGCATACTTGTCTCCACTGTGTTATCCAGACATAAACTTCAATGATCTACAACAGATCAAGGAGAAAAAACATCATCTGTTAGGACTGCAACACATGTTCTATGGGGATCCAGTAGCCTCCAGCTTTCCTCACCATGCCACTCTTCCCAGCACCAGAAAACCTGGTGGAAACAGGCCCACCCATTGCTGCCACAGCAGTGCTCTGAAGCAGCACCACCTTCCTCACCCACTGGGGCTCCACATCACTCCTAAGCCTCACTGCAAAGCTCAGTGGCAAATTCTTTTAGACAGTCACATAATTAACTGCATCTAAACAAAAAGGCACAGTAAGAAGACACATCCAGAGGAGAAAGATGTGTGAGTGCAAACCATTTCCTCACGCTGTCCCCTGCCCAGCAGCTCTCCTCTGAAGTGCCTGCCTGCACCTATACCAGCCTCAGGACAGGGCTGAGCTGCTCCTCCTCCTCAAAAGGACCGAGGGGGGAAAATGATCCCACAGATGCAGGGAAGGGCAGCGTTTGCACAGGACAGCCACTGGCACCGCTAACTGTTACTGCAGAACACATAAAGCCACTGCTGCTACGATGGGTGGTTGTGTTTGGGACCAGGAGGGGATCCCTGGAAGCCCTCATCCAGCAGCAGGTAACAGACTGTCTGACCAGTGCACCTCTCCTTTGGAGACCCCCAGCTTTGCATGGTGGTGAACAGCTTCCACAGCTCCCTCCATGCTGTAGGGAAGCCTCACTTCTCCCAGAACCCAGGGACCTTTGCTGTAGCTCTTCTGAGCCCAACTCTCCCATGTTTTACTGCTCAAAGTACTGCAACTCAAAGTGATGGAAACTGCATCCAGGTATAGGTAGGTTGGCCCATTGTTTGTTGCCACGACACCCATGACTATCATTTTCTTCCAAGGATTGAAGCAGGTTGCACAGATGAACCATACCTGGACATACTGCAATTTCTTCCAAACCCTTCTCACCCTCACTGTGCTTGAAATTACTACCAGGAAGAAGGCAGTTATTTGTTTAAATGTTGAGGTAATTTATTTAACTATTAAGTGGAAAAACAGGAAAAAAAAAAGTTTGTTTCACAGATACTGGATTTTAAAGTGAAAAATGCTTAAACAAGTTTAAACATCAGCTGTGCAATGATGAAATCCATCCCCTTCCTCCTTATGACCATCAGCCTGCCCCATGTGCTGGACGATGCCCTCAGCTGATACACAGAGCACAGTTTGGACCGGGTCACAGCTACCAGAGTTGCCACGACTGCACCACACACCTCTCTGTGAGGAGCAACATTCTATTCAAACCATTGCGAGGTCTCACAAGCACTATTAAATTCTCAGAGGGTGGTACCACCACCCACTTACAAGTAAGGTAGTGCCCTGTGTGACATTGGGGAGGCATCAGGGGGATGTACTTCGGACTTCACTGTAATACACTTTATATAAAAAAAAACAATCTCTGTCACTCAAATGATATACATGAGTGCCCTGACAAAGGGGCAAAAGTAGCAATTGCAGTGTCTTGGTAATATTTTTATTGCGAGAGCTACCCAGTACCAAGTCATTACCACCTCAGACCCAGAGCACGCCAGGGCTCTGGGAACACTCTCCATACACCTATGGTCAATCAGCAGTAAGTGCCCTCCTCTTCCTGAAACAGTGGGTTATAATGCAGAACAATCCTGCCACTTCCTAATAAATATGTTCCTAATAATAATACAATTCATAATAATAATTCATAACAAAAGAATCCTAATATATATAATACCTTCCTATTAAACCTAAGATGCTTATTATATTGCCACCACAGCATAAAGATAACCCCATTTAATTCAGGAAGCAAAGGATCCTTGCAGACCGGGAGCCTTCAAGCGCCCCTCCACCAAAGAACAGGGACAACCCACCCGGGGAGCCGTGATCCAGCAAACACTTTCCTGCTGCAAACAGTTTGCAGCAAAGATATATGGGAGTTTATCTGCATATAACCTGATAGAAATTCCAACTGCATCCCGGGTCAAAGTAGAGGGGGTTGGTTTCGTCTGGCTTTTGGGTTTGATTCTGTGTTTATGATGAACAGACATAGTAAACATTTCCTAAGCTGTCTGCAGTTTGGAATTCCAAGTCTGAAATAAAATATAACCACAGTGCCGGCTCCAGTGCCACCCCTCTCACAAACAGCAACAAAACAATTGAATAACACAACATTTACTTTATATAGAGCTTGTATGTAGCTCTCAGCTTCACCTATAAAATAATGTTTCAGCTTTGTTTGACAGCAAAGACAGAAAATCTACCAAGCTAACCCATGGTCACAAACAGCCTGTCAATGCTCTTTCTCTGCGAATACAGAGTTCAAGGAAAAAACCACTCACATAACACCTGTAGTAACAATTTTGTCTCCTCTCTGCTGGTTAAAGTATAACGTACCATTATGATGAGAGTCCTGGGTCTGCTCATTTCATCATCGCTATCCAGCGGCAGGATTTCATGTGACAACTCCTCTCGCCGTCGTCGCCTGCAGATATGTGGACAGTTCCTCTGTACCACAGAACGAAAGGCTTGGAGCAGAACAATGCTGGCAGCACAACCCATATCTGCATCCTGAAGCCTACAAAATAACTTCTATGTTTATGCTATGTTGGAAAAACAGTGGCTCCTTGTCCCTGAAAACAGCCTACAGTGCAGCTGCAGCCAGCTCGCTCTCCAATCGCTTCCTTGAGCTCGGATCATCTGATCACAACCAAATAGCTTGGATGCAGATAGAGGAAAGATTTGATCCGCTGAAACTGAGACGCACGCAATATTACGATGCTTTTTTCTCTCTCTCTCCCTCCCTGCTTCTGAATTCACATGAGAAAACGCACTCCCTCTCTTGTACAACCAGCCGCCGCCTCCTCCGATTCCAGCTGCAGGGAGATGGAAGTATTAAAATTCCTGGTTCCAAAGAGCCAGCTGTTTATTAAACACACACACACACACGGGCATCCACAACAACTGGCAGGATCCACTTAAATACCTTTTAAAAAAAGTCGTATGTAGCAAAATCGCAAACATCTGGAAAGTTATTAGCTCTCATTATCAGCACTGCTGTTTTCAAAATACTTCGCCTTAGGGTGTTTTGCCATGAAGAAAAAAATAAAGAGATATTTAAGATCACTGGGCTGTGATCTTTACACTTCTCTCAATTTTCTGAAGCACAGCAAGCTCATTTGAGTTGTAAATGTAACAAGTGGTAAAAAGCAGGCAGCCATCAGTGTGGCTTCACCCAGCTCCCGCTGCAAAGGCTCTGCCAGGAAGGGCAGCACGGGCTCCGAGCGGCGCGGTGGCCGTGTGCCCCCACGCAGGGCAATGTGCCCCTGCCTCGCAGCGGGGCTGGGGCACAGGGGTCTCCCGCTGAACAGAGCACCAAGCAGCTGCCAGGGAGGGCAAGAGGCTCTGGTGCCCCAGCAGTCGGGACCCAGGCAGGGAGAAGCGGCTGCTGGCAGCCAGCTTGCCTCCCTGGCTCCTGCCTGGCCACTCAGTCCAGGAGCAGCGAGCGACGGATGCTCAGCAATCACATGGCTGACCTGGAAACCCAGCGAGCACTAATGGGGGAGAGTGTAAGATAATAGCACTTGAGAGGAAGTTAACACTAAAAATATCCATGGAAAATGGGTTTCTTTTACACACTAGGAAAGCTAAGAATTTCCAATAGGGTTTCCAGAGAAGCTGCTTTTAAGCTAATATGTTTAATTTTATTATATGTGCACCCAGAACCATATTTACCGTGCCTCAAAAAGCTTTGATTTCTAACAAAGGCCAGGAGAGTTTTGTCACCGGTTCCCATGGGGGCATAAGCAACTTTATACTGTCTGTTAATGAGACCTCTGTAAATAATACTCCTCCTCACAATCTCAGTCAGGAATTGCACTGAACACATTCCGTGGAAATACTTCCCTCGGGGCTTGATTAGAGTTTAATTGCTCAGTGATCTGGCAAAGAACACCATCACAATTGCAAAAATAATTAAAGCATTTGCCAGAAAAGCTAAATCCTTCGAATCTGTCCTTTAAAAGCCACAAACTCACCGCCATTATTTCTTGCCTTTGTTCCTTTAGAGCAACAGGATTACAAGAGTGCTGGGTCATTTCTGCACCAGAGCAGCAATCCTGCTATTTCTAAGTTTTCCATCATCCCCTGGCCTCCTCCAGAGCCTCGACCAGCACCTTGGCCAAACAGAAGGTGCAGTTGGCAGCTGGGAGAGCAACACTCCCACTCCAAACCCAGCAGCAGCAACAGGGCCCGGATAACATCTGTTGCTTGGTGTTATGGCAACTACTCTGCTACCTCAGGGGCTGCTAACGCATCTGCGGTCTGTCCAGGCAGCATCTTCACTCACCAGTGCTCAGCTGGAAGAGCTGGCAGGGAGTTTTATCCAATTCCGTTTCCATAGCACAGCCCAGCACCGCTGTGCACGCACACATGGAATAGCACTCCAGGGCTCGACCCAAAGCTTCGCTCTCAGGGAAGAATCCCATTCATTTCGGTGGTCCTTGGTTCAAACTGTTCTCTGCCAGCAGCCCAAGTGGCTTCATTACAATTGTTTGTGGATTAAGATATTACTAGGTACAAGTAGGAATGACACAATCTTGGCTTTTCACCTCTTAGGCGAGGAAAATGACATTCGGTTTGAAAAGAAGTCCGCTAACGAGCCAAAGCCAGCTAAAAGTAGCCTCCAGGCCTTCATCAGAATTCAAAAACTGAAAAAACAGCAAATGCACAGGGTAAAAGAAACCACGAAAGAGCTAAAAAGCCCCTTCTGCTTTAGGAAATCTCACTGAAGCATGAGCTATCTCTGGAAAGGAAAACCCCCAGCCCATTAAAAATGCCTGGACACAGACACAGTATCAACAGCTTTGTTTTCCAAATGTCGGGATCTCATTAGCATACATTAAGCTTACACAGCAACTATCAACAGCCTCAGTTACTCTTACAGTGAAGCATCAACACTATTTTGTGTTAATTAGCAATTTAATGCAGAGCTGAACTCAGTGAAATCCCCTGGGAAGCAAAACACTCCTTTGTGCAAGTACGCCCTTACCTCCCTGTTGGGAAGGCTTTGGCAACAATGCTGAGGAGGGAAGATGGCTGAAGGTCAGAGGCACCCTTTGCCCTCATCAGCTCTCAAAATGGCATGTACACATTTGTGGTTTTTTTTTGTAATTCTGTGTAAAACAAGCCCCCTCTCCAGGACATATTTGCCCAATGCTCACTGAGCAGCTTTCGCACACAGGCCAGCAGCCTACACGGGGCCGTGCCACTGTTGGGAGGGACAAAAGGCTTTCAGAACATGCACGGTGATCACACGCTTATTCCACAGAAAGCTTATGCACTCCCCATTGCCAAAAGCCATAAATAGCACCTGTGCTTCCACTCGTAATATTCCCTCTTAGCCCTGCAAAAACGTTCACGTGCTATATTGGAGACCATGGCCCCAGAGCAGCGAGGTATCAGAAATGGCAAGGTCTCCAGCAGCAGAGCTGGCCCAAGGGTCTCAAGAGAGTTGAATACACAGGCTTGGGTTCCACCAGCTGCTCCTCAGTGACCTGGGCAAGCAGGCACCAATCCCAGTAACTGCTCCGGAATGACACACAGCTTCCTCATCCCAAAACTCCATTCAACCAATGCAAACAATTCTTAATGATACCAAGCTACAGCCAGAGCAAACTCCCCAGTCAGTCATACAGGGTTATAACCTTACGAGAGGGGCTTAAAACCATGCAAGCAGCTCCCATCTCCTCCACGGAGCCGTGCAGCGGCAAGCACTGCGCACACCAGCACAACGCCGGCCGCCGGGGCAGCTCTGGAGTGCTCGGCACAGCACAGACAGGGACCTGCTGGAGCGGGGCCAGAGCAGCCCCAGCAGTGACCCGAAGGGGGAACCCCTCTGCTGGGAGCCCAGCAGGAGAGAGTTGGCTGGGGCAGACTGGAGAGGAGAAGGCTCCAGGGAGACCTTCTGGTGGCCATTCAGAACTTCAGGGGGCCCATAAAAAAGCTGGGGACAGACTTTACAGCAGGGCCTGCTGGGACAGGACAAGGGGTGATGGTTTGAAAATAAAAGAGAGAAATTTAGGTAAGATAGAAGGAAGGAATTTTTTAGGCTGAGGTTGGTGAGCCCCCAGCCCAGGATGCCCAGAGAGGTGGTCGATGCCCCATCCCTGGAACCATTCCAGGTGAGGTTGGCCTGGGCTCTGAGCAACCTGCTCTAGCTGCAGACATCCCTGCTCCCTGCAGGGTAGTTGGACTAGATGACCTTTAAAAGTCCCTTTCCACCCAAACCAGCCTGTGATTCTGTACCTTCCCAGCGCTGTCACAAACCCTCTGCAATGTCACCTGGCTGCAGGGGGAAGAGCTCTGCACAAAGTGGGTGTGTGGCACCCTCTAGGGAGTAGCACATGAAAGACAAAGTACGTCAAAGACTCGGCTCTCCTCGCTGGCAAATAACGTAGATTAAATGACTCTGTTTCTAAAATCTTCTCTTGACATTAAAAATAAATAAATAACGGCACTACCCAAAAGCTTTCAAGAGGAATCATGTTCTCCACCACAGGCAGGGACCCGCACTGGAGCAGGGAGCCCAGCAAGGGCTGCATGACAGCAGCCATCGGGCTGCCGGGTCCCTGCAAGCTCGCGCTGCAAAAGGTTGCCTTCAAACTCTGCTGCTTCTCGACCTTACCTGCCTAAAATAGCAACTGTTACGTACAGATGTGGGGGGAAAAAGGCACCTCTGATAACCACTGAAACAGGCTCCCTGTGACTACATGTGCTAATCATAGAATGTTTGGGGTTGGAAGGGACCTTTAAAGGTCATCTAGTGCCATCTTTTTCTTCTCAATATTGCTTTCCCCCTTCACGCTGACGTCTGGTGGAAGGTATTATACATAAATTGTGTGGAGTACTAATAATTACTACCACACCATACCTGGTCAAGATACAGAGGTTTCCCCATTAGATCCTACAGCCACTACATCAACATCTTGCAACCAATTAAAAAATAAGGAAACAAAGTGATAAAAAGGATTGAAATAGGAATTTCCATCAGGCTAGTGAGGGAAGCTGAGTCAGAACCCACAACTCTGGAGCTTCAACCCCTAAAGGTAACATTCAGAGAAACCCCTTCAATACAAGATGTCAAATCCATTTCAACTTGCATGCAAATGGTTGCCACATTTCTATTTCCAACTCCACTGATTTTCAAATAATTTCTCACTTTGACAAGTAGTTTTCTACAATTACAGCCTCTGTGAGACCAGTGGGATTATTCTTGGCTCTTAGATTAAGAAAATGGGGTAACTGTAGTCTGTAGGCAAAGCAGAAAACCTCTTTATTTCAATGCACTTCAGTGGCTTCTGAACTAGCACTAAATATTCTAAGGAGTAGCTAAGAACATTGTTGTGGTTTCCTTAAACATGTAACAGGAAAAACAAATGTTTAGCTTTATACCAAGAAAAATACCAACTTATAAACCAAATGTTTGTTTGTTTTGAAAAAGAACTTTTACTATCCCATAAAACTGGAGGAGTATTTGTTGCAGCTACCAAAATTCATCCTTT